CTTATTGATTCTTTTCCATTTTTCAGAGTGTAGAAAACATTCACATGGCTAATATTTCCTTCCATTATTTTTCATATTTTCATATTATTATTAATTTTCTTCCCAATATTATTATTAATTGTTTGGGCGTACGGCTTCCTTCCATTCTTTTTTCATTTTTTCATATTATTATTAATTGTTTAGGTGGGAACTTGTAAAAGAGGATTTGTGTTTATTAATTAATATATAATATAAATATAGATTAATATAGAATATAGATTACCAATTAAAATTAGTTTTATTTTTAATATTATATTTGAACAATAATATTACCAATTATTATTATTATTATTATTATTATTATTATTATTATTATTATTATTATTATTATTATTATTATTATTATTATTAATACTACGGAGTAATTATGACGATCCCATAATTATGCCAAAAAATAAATACACTTTTGACCTATACAATGAAGAATTGAGCATGGACTTCATAACTGTCAAAATCGGAACCATGAGAATAAAACAACTTAACAAATCAGAACTTCAGAAGTCCGATTACTTCAATAATCAACGCAAAGAACTAAGAAGAATATAATAATAGTCAATTAATGTATTAAAGGCGATTACTGCTATATCTTGTCGTGTATATTACAACAGAAACACTTAACCACTCCTCATTCTCCAATCACCCATGAGTCACACATTTTATTGTGTGGCACTTTAAATTCTTGATTAATGACAGTATAGCAAAAAATGAAGAGAGAGATTAGAGGAGTCAGCACTCAGCATCCCTTTAAACGGGCAGGAGTAGGCACCACTCAAAGCGAGATTCACATGAGGCTGCCTTTCATCAATGATAATGAAACTTCAGTAGAAGCAAAAAATCAATATATGAAATGGACTTGGAGTAACCGTAGAAATATTCAGAATAAACCATAATCTAAGCATATGATATGAATAACTTTTTGCTGAAAAAAGTATTAAATTTGGACAACACAACCATGGAAAACATATTGTATCTAATCCAATCAAACTACTTGGATGCTAAACCTACCGTTAATTTCAAAACGCGGTTGAACTGAATGATCAAGGCTGAAGACCTAGTGAGAAAAAAGGGATGCAATATAAAATGAAGACTTATAGTTTTTGTAGTCATCAACTCGTTGTATTTATAGGTGAAAAATATGAGAATTATAAATTTGTAAACATTTTCAAAAAGAAAGTGCATTTATTTATTTAAGGTATTGCCCTAATCAATTCATTATATTGATATTCCTAATCAATTCATTACATTAATATTCCTAATTAATCTTATTCCTAATTAATTCATAATATTGATATTACTAAATTTCCATTTTTCATTTTCTTACCAAATAAGCTTTATTAAGTATTTGACCAATAAAATATAAAATATTTAATTAATTTGACTACAAAAGTTTGGGCGGGAAAATGAAATAGGAGGATTTTACTTTTATATATATATATATATATATATATATATATATATATATATATATATATATATATAATTGTCCTAAGAAGAGATTCCCTATGTTTAATTACCATAATAAATTTAGTTGTTAAATATGGATGGTAAATAGTATATCGTAATTATACTATATAGATTACCATAATAAACATTATTAAAAATGAAATAATAAACAATTGAGAAAATAACATTTTTTCCCCCTGAATTATTCATGTAAGCACATTAGCCCCCTCAATTATTTTAAAAGTGGCGGTTTTCTCCCCTTGATATATTAAATTGACATTTCTACCCTTAAAGTAAACATTTATTTTTTTTCTTCTCCAACAAATTATTGCGTATATGTAGGGATGACCAAGGTTCGATTCGAACTGAACCGGACACTATAGCAATCGAAATAAAAGTTTCTGGTTATGATTCAGATCCAGAACCCAATATTTGGATTTCAGTTTATTAAATTATGAATGGAAAAACTGGATCCTGAACGGTGAACCGGCGGTTCCGGATCAGGTTCGCGATTTTGAACCGTCTTTATTTTAAAATTTTATTTTTTAACTTTAAAATAGTCTAAATTCAACAATAAATATATTTTATTTTTTTTCAATTCGGAACATGAACCGGCCATTTCGGTTCGCGATTTTAATAAACTTAAATATCGAGTTTCGATTCTAAATTGTAATTGGAATATTTTAGTTTGGTTTGAATAAATTGTGGTCATAATTTGTTGGAGAATAAAAATAAATGAAATATTTATTTTAAAGGTAGATATGTCCATTTAACATTTTAGGGGAAAAAACAGCCACTTAAATAATTTAGGGAGAAAAGTGCTATAAGTATATAACTCAGGGGGAAAAATGACATTTTCCCTTAAACAATTCTAAAATTTGGGGTAGAAAATATGGTATATCAACATTATTTGACAAAATTGTAATTTCGCATTAATATTTAAAGATCTTAAAAAAATAATTACACTTTCCTAATTAACGATAATTACAAATAATTAACTCCAATATTAATGGAAATGTTAATCACAATAACCATTATTATATAATAATAATGAAACGCATGCATAATGTTGTTATATATGCATGTTCTTATGACTGGTCCGGCATGGAAGGGTTCTTACAAATGCCGAGAGAGCTAGGCGAAAGCTAACATCTGATACTTTATGTTTTCGTTGTGCAGGTCAGGTTGTAGATCTAAACCATCTTTTCAGAACATGTCTTGCTGCTAGACAGATTTGGGACTCAACACTACATGGAAGAACGAGTGTGCTCCTGAGTACGATGCCTTGGAGTGTTTGGCTTGAGACAAACTTGAAGGGAGAGGTGACCAAAGGGTTCAATGAGGATTGGCCGGAGTAGTTCGGCGTTAGGATGTGGTGGCTGTGGAGGGCAGAACCAGGAAGTTTTCAAGCAACAAACTTAGGCGACAGGGCGAAAATTGGACTGGCTTGCGCGCTATGACCTAGAGGTTAAAAGTGATTTCGTAAAGCGCATGAATCCGGAGAGGGGAACCACGACGCACACGACAGCCCAGGTGGGTTGGCAGAAGCCGGCCGCCCGGGGCTGGTTGAAACTAAATGTGGACGGTTGCTGCAAAGCGAATGACACGGCACGCTGCGGTGGTTTGCTCAGGGATGAGCACGGGATTTGGCCCCGAGGCTTCACTTTCAACATTGGGTGTTGTAAAGCAAGTGAGCCGGAAGCTTGGGGATTCTTCAAGGCTTACGCATGGCAAAGGATTTTGGAGCAACAAAGCTCATGGTGAAATGCGACTCAAAGAGAATTATTGACGACCTAGGCGACGCAGAGAATGAACAGGACATCACCAGCAACATCATTTGGAGATGCTGTGAGAGGCTGAACAAATTCCGGAGGTGAAATTTATGCATGTTCACAGAAAGGGAACAAGGTGGCAGATAGTTTGGCCACGGCGGCGCTTGCCCATCAAATTGGACTTCACGGTCTTACGAATGCACCTTGGGAATTAAGAGAAGCAATCAGGCTTGACAAGCTGGGAGCAACGACCCCAGATAATACTAAGCTTTTTGGGTGTCCCCCTCCTCACTGATAGAAAATAATAATAATAATAATAATAATAATAATAATAATAATAATAATAATAATAATAATAATAATAACAATAATAATTGTTAGGAACACTTGTATTAGGATTTTGATGATACCAATGTAACCTAGAAATTAGACCCCTAACCGTTATTACTTTTTTGATCACTGCTTTCGTCCTAGACGAAAGTTGCCATAACTCACTTGTAATTCGTGTTAAGCTAGCCAAACACACGAAGACGAGTTACGATTAATTGTTAGGGTAATCAAGACGAATGAAGACACGAAGCATGAAGCATGTTCAACGAAAGTTTAAGAGGAGTTGTCATTTAACACGAAAGGACAGTCTGGTTAACGACAATTCTTCCAGACATCTCTTCTCACCAACAGCAAGAAGAATGTCTCCTCTGTCTGACTTGACAACATCCTAGGATAAAAAGGACCTCAACTTGTGGGACACGCATATCAAGGAACATTAAATGAAGATGTACTATTTCCTGGAGCTAAAGGACAAAAACCTAAGGCTCTCCATGCCATCAACGGCTACAAGGTACAATCTCATTAATGGAGCATTTAATGCAAAAAGCTCCCAGGTCCTTATCCACTGGTCAATAGGTTTGAAAATTTCATCTCCCTTCAACGGGTGGAATTTTCCTCACCTATAAAAACCCACCTTCATCAACTTAGAAGGTGCTGGTTCTTATCACTCGATCTATCCATACGAAAAAGCTCTTAAACGCTCTCAGATCCCTCAAGCTTTTGTGAACCAGTGTTAAGGTGCAAAGATACTTGAAGAAGCTCATTGATCCTCATCTTACACCTTAAAGAAGTCTTGCTATTTGTACGAATCAATCATTCCTCCCGGTCAAGACTTTATTACGTTGGAGAAAGCAGAAATCATTTTCTACCAACCTCAACTCTGAAGAAGAAGTTGATAGAGGCAGAGTAAACTCGAGGAGTTGAAAAACCTACGAAGGCTGTCCGGCTTAGTGATCAAGGAAGTCTTTGTGAAATTGTACTAACGAGTGATAGTGCAATCCTTCCATACGTTGTGGAAGAAGAGTGGAGTAGGCAAAGTTGGCTGAACCACTATAAAAATCTCGTCTCTCTATTTCTTTACTTTTGCTTTTCATTTCTGCATCATTTTATCTTTCACATCTCTACCAAAACTTTCGCTATATAAAAAACCGTGCAAAGCAAATAAACGAAGTTAACATTTCCGCTGCGTCAAAAACACCAAAAGGTCGTTTTTAGGGCAAAACACGAAAAGAATCTATTCACCCCCCCCCCCCCCCCTCTCTCTAGACTCTCACTATAACTCTATCGGGACCAACAAGTGGTATCAGAGCCAAATACCTTGAACGGTAAAGGCTTTGCATTTACTGCCTGGTAGATCCCTTATCAAATCTCTGAAAACTTGCATTTTTCAGCTTTGCACAATTTTTTTTTTTTTAAATGGAAAAGGATCATGCTAACCGCTCTAAGCAGCTTGTTTTTAGCCTCTCTAAATTTGATGACTGGAAGATAAGAATGCAGGCCCTCCTCTGCTCCATACATGACGAAATGTGGGACGTCATAACAACTGGACCAATTACAGTTATGATGGCAAACACACAAGCGGCAGCTCAAGGGGCCGGTGCTGAGCAAATGATACCGAAGCCAAAAGATTCATACACCTCGGAAGAAAGGACAAGAGCAAACCTGGACAATGTAGAACGAAACATCCTCTACAACTCCCTTGACGACTCCTTGTTCCCAAGAGTCCGAAAGTGCAAGAATGCCATGAAAATATGGAAAGTTCTTATGGAACTAGGAGAAGGTGATGAACAGGAGAAGGACAACAAATTGACTGTGGCTATGAAGAAGTTTGAAGACTTCAAAATGCTTCCAAATGAAACAATCATGGACATGGAGCTGAGGTTCACCAGACTCATGGGAGATCTGACAGATCTCGGGAAGGAACTATCTGAGAAAGAAAAGAATCTGAAAATCCTTCGTGGTCTACCAAAATCTTGGGAAATGAAAGTCATCGCAATGAGAGACAATCGAGATATGAAGACGACGAGCACAGCCAAAATTTTCAGTGATCTTAAGGCATACGAGTTTGAGCATGAACCGAAAGATGTCGAAGAATCAGAAACCAGAAATGTAGCTCTCGTGGCCAGCCAACAAACAACATCATCTAATAGGTCAAAATCTAGCTCTTGTGATTTCTTATCTGATGAACAGTATGCACTATTTGTTAGGAAAATGAAGAGGTTCATGAGGAAGAACAACTTCCAAGACTCACACCGTTCGGGCCACCGAAAGCAACACGAAAGTTCACCTCAAACCTCAAAAGCGGAAACCTCGGACTCGCAACTGTTGTGCTACAACTGTCGAAAACCAGGACACTTCAAGGCCAACTGTCCTCATCCAATAGTGAGCAAGCATCAAGACAACAACTCTACCAAAAGCCCATCCAAGGAGACTGGAGAAAGATACAAAAGAAATGACAAGCCAGAATCATCAAGCTCCAGAAACGAGAGTAGAAGAAAGGCGATGGTAGTGAACGAAACCTCTGACACAGTTGAGGCCGAAAGTAGCTCCTCGAGCTCGAGTTCAGATGACGAAAGCACTGAAGAGGAAAAAGGACTACTATGCCTGTTCAGCCAAGAATCAGAAGATCTATGCTTTATGGCTGACGAAGATGAGGTAAAATATCACTCATCCTCTTGTTATTCAGCTGAGTCCAGTTCTGTAGGGAGTCAAACCTCCAATGAATCTGTTACAGAAATGATGAGGAGGTTCAAAGTGATCAAAAGCACATACTCCAAACTTAAGGAGGAGAACTCTCGGCTCATGATTAGCTATAATGCGCTAAGGCAAGTTCGAGTTGAGAACATAAAGCTAGCCATTGCTAAGGAGCAACTTGAGAAAAATGTTCTCGCTCTGAAGGAACAGTGCACAGCAAGAGAAAAGAGAGAGCAAGAACTCCTTGAAGTCTTAGATAAATTCAATAATTCGTCCAATCTAATGGATCGAATGTTAAATGAATCTAGACTGCCCGGGGAAAAAACGGGAATCGGTTTTGACCCCAGCTCCTCTTCACAAGTCGGCTTGAACAAACCCACGAATGCATATTCTCACGAAAGCTTTCAAGCTGCGTTTGTTCAAGGTCCAACCCAGGTGTCTGAGCCTATGACAGAGGTTAACAATGTCGCCACACCACAACCAACAAGCCTACCGAAAGGAAAGGCTGTACAACGAATTGTGGACCCTCGAAACGAAAATTCTTACAAAGGCAATCCTAGACAGAAACATGTCAAAAGGAATGAACCAAATGGCAATGGACAAAATCTAAACCATAAGAAAGGTAAGCCTAGTAAGAGTATTCAATCAAGGAATAGGCAGAATATTGACTAGAGGCAATATCGTCCAAAGCTAACACGAAAGAATCCTAATCAAGGAAACCCGAGAAATGGACGAGTCAGACAAAACGAAAGATCCTTCAAAAGATCTGGTCATGGCAATGGATGGACTGGGCCATCAGTGGAAGATTGGTTTGATTACCCAGAACCTCTATCAAGAGCTGAATTTGAGATAATTCATCTGCGTAAACAAAACAATTATTCCAAGTATTATGAAAACCCTCCTGAAGAATATTTTCACGAGAGATATAATGCTAAAACCTTTGCCAGTATCCATTATGATTACCGCACATCTAATGGATATAAGGGACCAAGGATGAGTCGAAGAAACTCTAGGTTCGTGTGGATTCCAAAGCTGACATCTAACCCTCAAGGACCCGAAAATCAAGGGGTACCTCAAAACACATAATCTTTCTTGCAGGACAAACAAGTCATATGGTATGTCGATAGTGGATGCTCAAGACATAGGACTGGTGATAAAACAATGTTGAGCAATTTCAAGGTAGTTGATGGACCTAAAGTTATATTTGGAGGAGAAAACAGTGACAAGACTCGTGGAAAAGGAGACATCATCAAACAGGGAATAACCATACAAGATGTATCATATGTTGATGGACTAAAGTTCAATCTTCTACGCACAAGCCAATTTTGCGACAAAGGATACAAAGTCGAATTCTCTAAAAACGAGTGTAAAATCGTGAACACGAAGGATGGCAAAATCGCGTTAACAGGCCAACGAAAGAAAAACATGTACGTAATCTCGTGAAATTCCTCTAATGCTAACGTTTGTTTTGTTGCTAAAAGCAATGCAGATCTTAGTCAAGAATGGCACAACAAGCTGAGTCATCTGAATCTAAAAACAATCAACAAACTTGCCAAAAGAAATCTTGTGAGAGGGTTACCCGAAGCATCATACACAAAAGACAAAATTTGCGAGGCATGTCAGAAAGGGAAACAAATCAAGTCATCTTTCAAATCTAAGGAAGTGGACGGAAACTCTCGTTGTCTAAGCCTTCTACATATGGATCTCTTTGGACCAGTTGATCCAGCTAGTTTAAGTGGAAGAAAGTACACTCTCGTAATAGTAGATGATCACACGAAATATACTTGGGTGCTTTTCTTGAAGAAAAAGAATGAAACAGAAGTTATTCTTCCCAATCTCTTGAGGCAACTTCAGACAGAAAAGGAAGTCAAAATCATTCGAATAAGATCAGATCAAGGAACTGAGTTCGTAAACAAGATCATAAAAGAATTCTGTGCACAGAATGGAATCTTTCATCAACTCTCGGCAGCACGAACTCCGCAACAAAATGGGGTAGCCGAAAGGAAGAACAGAACTCTGAATTTTCTGATAACGTCCTCAACAAGTATGGATAAGGGTAAAGAGAAGATGGATGAAGCCGAGGTTCGAGCTATCCATCATCTTCGAGAAGCAGGAAAATTGACAAGTGCTACAATAACGAAGATAGTGGAAGATGGTGATAAGGTTCACGTAACATTCACTATGCCAAACTCGGCCACTCCGAAAGATGAGGCCGAGAGAAGGGCCATTCGTCTAAACCATCATCTCCAGAAAGCAAGTTTGCCCAATGCTACCATTATCAAGCTGGAGGAAGACGGGAAAGGGTCAATGTGACATACTCCATGCCCAACACAGCAAATCTTAAAGAAAAGGAGACACTGGACAATGTTGTCAACGAATCTCGGGCAAAGAAGGTATATTACTTGGAGCAAGCCAAACGGCTTGCCAACGAAAGGATAATGATGTTGAAGAGCGTTAACAAGCACTCAACAAATCCACCTAACTTTCATTGGCACCCTATTCCTGAAGTTCCACAACAAAGTGATGAAACCTACGAAGACTTCACTTTGGTTCACTCTCAGTCACCCACCAACCCAAACACGCCTACCCTCACACTTGAGGCCGGAACTGGACGAATATTCAAACAGGGCTAATCTGCCCGATGTGACTGATGAGTTTACCTGTCTGGAACTTCACGTGCCCTATCGCTTTATCTGAATATTGCTTGTCTTATTTGTATGGTTTGGAGTACCTCTGCACGAATCTCTTTAATGAAGTTTCATGTTTATTTGTGCCATTACTAATTACTCTCTTGACCTTGATACTTTTATGTCAGATTATCTCTCTCGGGTCAAAGATGGAATTATGTTTTTAAAGTATTATACATGAGTTTAATGCTAAGTGACTCTTCAGAAATCATAGACTCCCCTATTGATCAACATTTGGATAAGGGATTAATTCTCATCTCAAATTGCTATAAAAGAAGGGCAGTGGCCTTACTAAAATGCATCCCTCTCATCACCAATGGCTCCTAAGGTTTCAATCACCAAAAAGGTGTCAAGAAAAACCCGAGCTCATCCAGAAGAGGGTGAACGGCATTCACATTCCTGGAAACAATCCTATCAATCCTCTGAACATTTCATCTGACTCTGAAATTGAGGATTTTGATTAATTCATCGAGAGAGATGTTGATGGAGATGCAAGATCTTTCGATCCTAATGAGGAACCCCCCTCTAATCGTTAAAAAGGGGTTCTTGACATTGGAAGCTTGGAACGATATCACTATGGATAGAGATCTCAGGGATTTCTATCGACATTATGATTGCAAGTCTGCATTTGTGGGGTATGTTGAAGGTGAATCCGATGAAGAGATACATCCTGATGGTGGACCATTGTGCCAAAAAACTCCCACTTCAAAGAGAGCCACTAAGGTCACCAAGGGCGAAACTAGTAACACGAAGAAGGGAAAAGGAAAGAAATGAAAATTTCTTTGTCAAGTATTCAAATTATCTTTAAGTTATGTATTTCTGTTCATCCATGTTCCGTGATTTGTCTTTGAATTAATGAAGATTTTCGCCATGAATCTCTGACTACCTGACATTCACACATCTTGAAGTCATAACTCTGACCCTAAAATTATGACGTTCTTGAAAATGTTCATTCAAAGTCTTGCACACCATTAATGGTCAGTTGAAGAAATACATGGTCATTAATTGCAGCATTGAATGCTGAGAACAGTTTCACAACGTTATCACTTCAGAATCCACCTATAAAAGGGAACTATATCTCACTTTTCTCTACCATTCTCATCTTCACAAATGGCTCCTAAAAAGCTCTTTACAAGGGGAGACTCCCGTAAGCTACGTGAACTTGCCAAGCAAATAAGAGAAGAGCAAGGAGACATGTATCCAGGCAATAGCCTTCAAGCACCATTGGAGATCTCGTCTGATACTGATGAATCATCTCTGTATGATGATATGGCTGGGTTCATTGTTGAAGAGCCCGAAGAAAACCCTCCGAGAGAAGCTGCCACATCACTTCCGAAAACCCCTGATGATCCTAGTAAGTACTACGATCAAGACTACATGGACTATCTGAAAGAAGAAGAACTCAAGAATGAACCAAAAGCTGATGAGCCAAAGTCTGAAGAAGTATTGGAGTCATCCTCGGACTCCAACTTTCTGCGTACCGGAAAATGGTACAAGCGCATGTGGGCTGATCTGAATAAGCCGAAAGTTGGGCCATCTGAGGGAAAGGGAAACGAGAGCAAGAAAAACTAATCCTTTGGATTATGTGTCTTATTATCTGTATCTGTTTCTCTCGTTTCTAATGAATAATAATCTCTTGGTGTTTATTATCTCGAATCTGCTAAAGTAACGGACAAAACTTTATTTGTTTTGTTCATTCCTATCAAAGTACATCTCGGGCTGAGCATACCCTTCTTGGAAATGAAAATATTCCCTCAAGCGTGATTTTTATATCTATGACTAGTCATTCGGGTCACATCTTTTGATAAAATTGTTACACTTTATAAAGGACCCCCTCGGGAATTATGGATTCATTTTTTTCAACTAAGAGTATCATGGACAAAGGGAAGGAAATAGCTCTTATAACTGGAAGTCTATATGAGTTCAAAAATGACTCCTGTCATAAACCCGAGAGTTCACTGGTGAAGGGATCATCATATGATAAATCTGCCAAATCACCAAGCGCTTCTGAATTCTTCTCCCTTGTACAACTTACACCACACCTGAAGAATGAGGAACCTTATCGGACTCTTTATGCCGGTGCAAAAGCTAAAGTTATGGCTGAACTCGATGACATGGAGAGACGAGGTCTCTCAAGGGACGCAATGGGAACGGATCACGACACAATCATTGCTGAAGTCTTTGCACATGAGGTGCGAAAGAATGAGTACTTTATCAATGCTCGAAAGAAGAGGGATGTCAAGGAGTAAAATCTCATGTTCTCCTATTTCACGAGAGATGCAGTCACCGCTCTTTCTTTTATCATTTCGTGTAATAATTTATCTCTCGGTTTATGAAATTTCGTTGTATGCTCTGTACTAGATTTGTTTGACTTTATTTGTCTTACAAATCTTCTGTTATGTGAAACTTATCTTCCTTTGGTCTACAATCGTATCTTAGACGCTTCCCAGTCTCTGATCTGAACCGTTTACACGTTTCATCATGGGGATCATGTGGCCGAGAAAAATGGTCCACTACCCCACGACTTCTGACAGATGATGTGACGGCAATTTATTGCATGTACAGGCACTTGAGTGGAATTTTCTCTCCTCATTTAATATGGAATGATCAAAACTGATCTGAGCGTGATCTTATCACTTTCCCATAAGCTGATCAGTTACCATTTGAGGAAGAGAAACCGGTTGATTATTTGAAATTCAAATCATCCATCCCAAATACGGGTTGACCCATATTTAAGTACCTAGCAACAAATGAAACCCTACATAACCTCCCAATTCTACATCTTTCACCTCTTTCATTCACTCTCCATCTCAAAACCATTCTACCATCTCAGCCTTCATACTACACTTAACAATGGCGGAGAAAATCCAAGAAACCTTCTCCAATGAAGAACCAGAAACACCAGCCCCCTTGGAAATTCCTTCCTTTCCTACCGAAGATATACGATTCATTGAATCTAGGGCTCCACTCATTGTCGGAGGGAGCATGTGGGATGCTCATGGGTTCCTAGAATATGTCCTTGATCGCAAGTTTGGAGAAGACATCATCGATCTACTCACAGAATACAGGTTTATCACTCACCTTTATACTTTATGGTATCCTATTGATGTTGCACAATTTTACATGAATGCAAATGTCTCTTCCGAATCTCTAACCATTACATCGAGAGTTCATAATCATCAAGTGGTTATAACATTAGAGGACATACGAGCAGCGTATGGGTTTCCTCAGAGAGATGAAACATACAAGGGCAACCTCTCTTTCTACCACTATGACCCCAGTGAGTTTTATGATACCATCAAGAACAATCATGCACCCTCGAAAACGGAGATTACATGGCCCTTGAAGAAAAAGTGGTTCCGTTTAGATTATGAGTTCACTGTGGACATCTTCAATAAGATCGTCGATCAAAAAACATCTGGGACTGATGACGTCACAAAGGAAAAGCTCAAGATGCTGCATGCATTTCTTAACAATCACAAAGTTGACTGGTCGAAAGTCATCTTCAACAACCTTGTTCATACAGTCATCTTCAACAGAAAAAGCCCCAGTGATATCACAAAGAAAATGGGCTATGGATTTTTGGTCAGTCACTTACTTGTCTCAAAAGATGTTCTCATGAGACCAGGAATCCGTCCAGGACAAAAAGCCTGCCACATGAAGCAGAAACCCTCCGGTTATGACAAGTAGAAAGCTTTGGAGTTGGGTGTTCCTTTAGAAATAGTGAAATCTAAACGGAAGTCAAGGACACCGAAAGGATCAGAAGATGACCAACCAAAGCCGAAAAGACAGAAGAAAGAAAAGCGCTCCTCTCGGATTAAGTCAAAAGAGGAAGCCATCAGTGCACCAACACCCACTCCCATCTCACCAAAGTCTCCCGCAGAGAAGAATATTCTTACCTCAACTATTCTTCCTCCAGACACAGTTGTTGTCGAAGATTCCTCTCATGAAGACAAATTGGTTTTGTCAAACCTTGGCAAATCAGGACACTTTCGTTCTCCTATCAAACCGAAGATTGGTGCACCTTCCTCCCCGAAAGAATACGAAACACCAAGAGAAGCACTCTCTCAGGGGGAAGAAGACACGAGAGAAGCATACTCTCAGGGGGGAAGACCAGCCGAAAGAAACCGCTCCAGAAAAACCTTCTGATCAACAAGAGTCAAACCTTGGCCTCTCGTCTCCTCAAGTCCTTCATACACAAGAACCCTTTTCAGCAGAGCGAAACATTCAAGACTCGACACAAGAACCTGCTGCTATGGACATGGAGGCCGGTCACTTAAGTCTTCCACAAGAATTTGGCTTGCCAGCAAAGACGAAAGAAGTGGCTGCTGATTTGAGTGAAATTCCATCTCTTCCACAAGAACCTGCATTGGCAGATGAATCAGCCATTGTACCAGTCGAAACTCATGACATTCCGAAGACATCGACACCTGTTCCCGAAGTCACAACAAAACCACCAGTTGCTGCGCCCATTCGTCCATCTCCAGATCAACTGCTTCGTGAGTCCATTGAAAATGACTACAACAGAGTTTTGCAGTGGCAAAAATGGCGCACAGCCCTTTTGAACATATTCATCGAAACTTTTGAAGCCATGAAAGATGAAGAAGAGTTTGCTCTTGGGTGGCT